TGCTGGGCTCCGGCGGTCCTTCTGCCTCAGCCTTCCAAGTAGCTGGAACTACAGGCGCGCCGCTAATTTTTATTGTGGAAATGAAGTCTCACCAAGTTGTCTAGGTGGGTCTCGAACCTGCAGGCTCAGGCAATCCACTCATCTCAGCCTCCCAAAGTGCTGGGATTGCAGGCTGAGCCACAGAGCCCGGCCGTAATTAAGTGTTTTTAAGTGATGGGTCAAAGCCGGGTGTGGCGGCTCACACCTTTAGTCTCAGCTCCTCTGGAGGGTCTCAATTCCTTGGGAGGCTGAGTTCGAGGGTTGCTTGAGCCCAGGGGTTGGAGGCTGCAGTGAGCTATGATGGCGCCACTGTACTCCAACCTGGGGGACAACCTGTGAGACCGCATCTCTTAAAAAAAAAAGGCCTGTATTTCATCACCCAAATGAATTTGTAGTGTTCCAAGCATATTGTCATTTTATATAAGTGACAACATGCTGACAAATCAGTGACTTTTCAAAATGAACTCCTGTACATTTGCTGCTGTTGCCTGAAACCCTCACTATACACTGGACACCTGATATAATTAAGTACAAATAATATGGGGATTTTTTGTTGTCTTATTTGCTCTCTGATGGTAGATAGGTTTAGTAAATCTCTAAAAATATTTAATAAATGTCCAAACAATAGGAATTAAGCAAAATATTTTGGGAGGGAATGATCAGAGACTTGGGAGTCTTTTAGACAGAGATGGGCTGGTTCAGTGGCAATAGTTATGAAACATCTTTGCTCCACTGATTTATTTTCTTTTTTTTTTTTTTTGAGTCAGACTTTCATTCTTGTCGCCCAGGCTGGAGTGCAGTGACACACTCATGGCCACCACAGCCTCGACCTGCTGGACTTATGCGATCCTTCTGCCTCAGTCTTCCTAGTAGCTGGAACTACAGATTCACAACACTGTGCCCAGCTAGTTTTTTTGTGATTTATTGTAGAGACAAGGTCTCACCAAGTTGCCCAGCTGGTCTCAGATCCCCAGGGTTCAGGCAGTCCTCTTGCCTCGACCTCCCAAACTGCTGGGATTACAGACTGAACCACCGCAGCAGGCCTCCACTGATTTCTTTAGGCTGAGGCACACACTCCCTGGAAGTTTTGAGAGGCTTGCAGTAAGAGCCATAGAGCCAGAGGCACAGCCACCCTGGGCATCCAGATGTCTATCCCTGAATAGCTCTTTTATTTGTTAAGTGTATCGTGAAAGAAATAGAAGGATTCCTCGGGTCTCATGTTTTCCATGTTGAAGTCACTTCATCCTGCTTCATGAGCTCACCGTGTGTGCTGAGTGTTGTGAATCATTCAGCGACCCTTCTCCTTTCGTGGGCAGAGTCCTCCTCCGGCTTCTGCTGGCAAGGCCTCTGGCCCTCACTCTCACGCCACTGGGTTTGCGTGACGATGACCTTCGCCAAGGGGGCCTTGTCCCGGGCACCCAGGCTAGGCTCTCCATTTGGTGTTTCCTTCTCTTTGCTGCCTTTGCTTCAGAGCTCTCTCCCCAAGCTCTCAGGGATGTGTGGGTCTGAAGTGATGTTCTTCTGACCTTTTAACTCAGCCAGGTCCCTGTGTACATGGTCTTTGCTGAGGGCTTTGTGCTCCTGGCTTGCCACGGCACATACATTTTCTACTTTAATCTCCAAACAACTTTATCAAATAGATGTTATTTCTGTTTTCTTACATGAAGAAAGTAAGCTAACTGTCAAAAGTAACCGACTACTAAGTGGCAAAGCCAGACGTTGACGTCTGGTCTGTCTGAACCCCTTGCACTTAGTGATTATTTAGAAATTGACAAGCCGGGCTCGGTGGCTCAGCCTGTAATCCCCCGCCTTTGGGAGGCTGAGGTGAGTGGATTGCCTAAGTCCGCGGGTTCGAGACCTGCCTGGGCAGCAAGACCTCATCTCTACAATTAATCAAAAAATCAGCCTGATGTGGTAGCGCATGCCTGTAATTCCGGCTACTTGGAAGGCTGAGGCGGAAGGATCGCCAGAGCCCAGCAGGTTGAGGCTGCGGTGGCTGGGAGCGGCCACTGCACTCCAGTCTGGGCGACAGAGTGAGACTCCAGCTCAAAAAAAAAAAAAAAGAAAGAAAGAAATTGACTGAAAATTGTCACTTGAAGTCTGCCCCGTGCCGTATGGGTTATACTGTATCTTTAGATATATGGCTTACTTTCACAGTTTTTTGGGTGCCCTGGATACCATAGAAATTCCAGGCCAGGCGCTGTGGCTCATGCCTATAATCCCAGTACTTTGGGAGGCTGAGGTGAGAGGATTATGAGCCCATGGGTGCGAGATCAGTCTGGGCAACTTGGCAAGCCCTCATCTCTACAGTAAATAAAAGAATTAGCCAGGTGTGGTGGTGTGTGCCTGTAGTTCCAGCTACTTGGAAGGCTGAGGCGGAAGGATCGCCGGAACCCAGCAGGTCGAGGCTGTGGTGGCCATGAGCATGCCACTGCACTCCAGCGTGGGTGAGAGTAAGACTCCAACTCAAAAAAAAAAAAAAAGAAATTCCAGATTTTCATCTTCTGAAGATGGAACTGAAACTAGATCTTGGTCACTTAGGACACATGATGATTACTAGTTCATGTTCCTAAAGGGGGTTGGAAGGCAGAGGGTTGGCTCCAGCTGTGCTTCATATGTTTTTGCACCAATGATTACACACGGGATCACAGGCTATATCTAGGAGGAGGAATTTCATTGGGGGAATATTTTTGTTTCAGGTTGTTAATGTGGGGACTTTCTCCCTCGGCATTTGCTTCCTAGTTTCACACTCATATCTGCATGTTGATCGTAGCGCTTTGACCTCAACAGCTGCTTTTGCTTAATGCACAGTGTTTCTTAGCGTCCTTCGTGAGGACGGAGGCTTCCAGAGCCCCTGTCTGTCCACATGCCCGTTTGGGCCTTGCAGTTCACTATGTCTCGGGATTGGCTAAGTCGTGCCCTGAGGTCAGAAAGGCTAGTTAGGGCAGCTTGTGGTTAAGTCATGTAGCCCTCATTGGCACTGGAGATGTAAAACCTGAACTCATCGACCAGGCCATCGGTTTCGTGCTTGTTTTTATTTGCATCGATTCTGTGCTTAGGTCTTCCCAAGGGATCAGAGCTGGCGAGGCTAGTTGTTCATACCTCAGAGGAATTAGGGACCAGTTGGAGGCTGATCTGGTTCATATGTGTAGATTTTGGGGGAGATTAAGACTAGTGTTGTGATTTGCTTTATAATTCAGAGGCCCGTTTCTGTCTCTAAGACTTGCACGTTGACCAAGCATTTGATTAACCTGTGACCAGAAGCGGGAGTGTGAATGGCTCAGATTGGCATAGGGAAGTTGTGGTGCACCTCATGTGAAAGGGACGCCAGTGTGGGCGGTTGATGCCTTGCCTGACATTTTCGTGCTCTGGCTCCCCTGCCTCTTTGACGTTAATCTCCTGACGCGCTAATCCTGCTGTCTTGCATCGCACGGATTGGGTCCAGGCGGGCTTGGTGAATTCAGATTCTTCTGCCCCAAAATAGTTTTGCCTCTGACCCTTAAGTGTCGTCACATTTTCCCAAATTATCCCTCCTGTTAATATGTAGAAAAATTTCCAGACGTATGTTGTAATCACCATGGCTCTCTTAAAAAAAAAAAAGCTATTACCTTCTTCCGATGGTGCCCGTCTTGGCAAGGGTGGAGACTCAGGAAGAGCTGAGCAGCCAAGTTTTTGTGTGTGGTTTCTGGTGAATTAGGGACATCTGGCACAGGGGCTGTCATACATTGCTTTGGGGCTGGTGGCCCAAGAGACCAGGGAGCATGGGGCCGGCCCTGCTGCGTGAGCTTATGGAGGCCATAGCTGCAAGTGGAGCCTCCGTGTGAATCGTGTTGGCCTGGGGAGGGTGTGCCCTTTTCTCTTTCTTTCTTTCTTTTTCCTTTTTTTTGAGTTGGAGTCTCACTCCATTGCCCAGGCTGGGGTACAGTGGCATGCTCACAGCCACCCCAGTGTCGACCTGCTGGGCTCCAGTGATCTTTCCGCCTCAGCCTTCCAAGTAGCTGGAACTACAGGCGTGTGCTACCATGCCTGGCCAATTTTTTAAACTTGCTGTGGAGACAAGGTCTCACCAAGTTACTCTGGCTGGTCTCGAACCCACGGGCTCAGGAAATCCACTCGCCTCGGCCTCCCAAAGTGCTGGGGTGACAGGCTGAGCCACCAGGCCTGGCCTCTGCCCTTTTCTCTTTCAAAGCACCAGGACAACTAGCGATGGCCCTGACAATCTTCACAAAAACATTATTTACTGACATTTGTGAAAACACTGTAAGGCAGGCTGTGTTCAGGACCGTCGCTGTAGGCCCAGGGACCACTGCAGTGGGACTTTGCCGTGGGGAGAGAGATTGGGCTTGACTCCAGGTAGTGTGGCAAGTGGGCATGGAGGCCAAAGAGCAAAGTGGGAGCCCGTGGGTGGGAAATCACTAAGCGGCACCTCAGGGGCAGACAGGTTCCGGCTCAACCAACTTAAGATTCTTGCTGGAGACAGGCCAGGGGGCTCAGTCTTCAGCAAGACCGATCCTGATGGAGGATGGGGAACGCTAAGCGATATCAAGGGAGGTGGGTTCTTGCTAAAATTGCATCTTACAAGAACGTTCACAGAAGTTCCCAGCAAAAGGTTCAGGGACCTGACCAGCTTGACCAAGCACAGAGTCTTTGTGCAGTGCTTGCCTAGAATGTGTAACTTTCCGAGTCTCAGGGAGAAGTAGACTCTTTGAGTTCCTGTAGTCGTTACTAAATGTTCTTCTACTGTTTTAGTTACTCCATGTCTGTTCTGCTCTGACATACCAGTGACGTAAAAGAAGACATAACGGGCCGTCAGTTTATGCAGAGCTGCCTCCAAACATCAGTTGTACTGGCAAAGTGAAGTTTTGCCTGGGCTGTGACGAGGGCCTCCGTCTTGAGGTGCCATCTCGCCAGTAGCTTGGTGTGGATTGAGCTGGTCTCTGCTAAATGTGTCTTGAACAAGTTTCTTTTTGGCAGTGGGGGCAGACAATGTGGAGTGCAGAGTCGGGCAAGCGCCGTGTCCAACTGGGTCCTTAAGCTGCTGCACAGCTAGGGTCTCCTGTCACTGTCACGGCCGAGGAAATGCCTTCCAAGCGGAAAACAAAAGTGATCCTGCTGCCAGGGGACAAACGTAGCTCACTCGACCCGAAGAAAGGGCGTGCTCACTGCTTTGCTGGGCAAGAAACTCTTGCACCTGACGTCTCTTCTTCTCCATGCTGTTCAAACCGAAAACGGTACTGGAGAGGATGTCTAGCTGTTGTGCTTGGCTGCATCATTTGTGACGTGCAGATGTACTTCATAGCTCTGGTCTCAGAAGTGTGAAGTCGTGCTGCTTTCTCCGAGTATGTCTGTGTCCGAGTCTGATCGAAGCAGGCTGTTGGGAGGTGGAACTGGCCGGGATCCGCTTGGTTTCTGCAGGTGTTTTGCGTGGTTTTCTGGATTGGGGCTTATGCAAGTTAGATGTTATTGTTTTATTTCATCCTAATTAGGTATACATGTTAGTTCTTTAGTTCCTGGTCAGTTCCTTTGGGCTCAGGTGGCTGTTGGATCAACAAAGTGAGTTCCTGGTACTGATTCCTAAGTGAAGGGGGTTTTTAAGTATTTATTAAGCACAGGAGGATTTGACTTATCTAAAACAGCTGCACTTTAGAAAAGGCACCCTTTCATGTGCTTTTAAGTCCCATGTGAGATTCTGGGTTCCAGAGGTGTAAGAAATGCTCCTGGCGAAGAGGCGGATGTTGCGGGCGGCGTGAAGTGGGGGGTAGTTGCGTCTTCCTGTTGCTTTTGCCTAGTGGTCCCTGAAGGAACAACAGTTGGAAAGAAAGGGGGAGGCTGCCGCAGCCTGCTGAAGTCCGCTCACCCGGCCTCTGAGGAGGATCTCAACTGAAACTGCTGTTTCCAGGAAGGGGCCAGTCTTTGTTTTTGGCCCTAGGGACTCTGTTTTACTTACCTCCGAGGGCCACCCTCGGGGAACAGTGAAATCTGGGCAAATGCGTGTCTTTGACTCCGCCTTCCCAAGTCCTTTGGATCGGTGGCAGTGGTGGGGTGTGGTGGGGTTGATGTGCATAAAACATGGCACAGACCATTTGGGGAGCAGGCCATAAAAAGTATGTGAAGAGAATGTTTTTTATTTGTAAAAGGTGTGAACCCTGGTAGACTTACTGCCAGGTGGGATGGAGGGAGGGAGAACTGAAGTTCCCGAGTTAAAATACTTCTTCAGTCGTGTGCCAGATGCACTGCAGAAAGTGTGCTGTGCAGTACGCGATTTGAGGGACGAGGAGAGTGGGGTTGGCCAGGGCTCCGCACCTTGGGCAGGGTTCTGTTTGGCAAGCATGTGCCTCCCTCCCCGTGTCCCACTGGAGTGCGCCAGGCACCCGGAGGTAATTCCTGGAAGTGGATAATGAGATGCTTAGACCAAAATAAAATAACTTTTTTTTTGAGTTGGAGTCTCCCTCTGTCGCCCAGACTGGAGTGCAGTGGCCGCTCCCGGCCACCGCAGCCTCGACCTGCTGGGCTCTGGTGATCCCTCTGCCTCAGCCTTCCAAGTAGCTGGAGCCACAGGCGCGTGCTACCATGCCCGGTTCATTTTTGATTTATTGTAGAGATGAGGGCTCACCAAGTTGCCCAGGCAGGTCTTGAACCCACGGGCTCAGGCAATCCACTCACCTCAGCCTCCCAAAGGCGGGATTACAGGCTGAGCCAACTTAAGAGCTCCCGGGGACTTTACAGAGGAATGTGTTGTGTTCCTGTGTGGTCGTAAAATAATCGTAAAGACTAACTAGAGGTGCATTACAATTTCCAGACACCCTCTTAGTACATTGATTAAGTTTGAATTTCAAACTACCAGGCTTAAGCTTAAAAGAAGTAGCATACAGGGTGTTCTTTTTTTTTTTTTTTTTTAACTGAGTCAGAATCTCACTCTGTCACCCAGGCTGGAGTGCAGTGACTTGCTCATGGCCACCGCAGCCTCCACCTGCTGGACTCAGGTGATCCTTCAAGTAGCTGGAACTACAGGCACTGCGCCACCATGCCCGGCTAATTTTTCTTGATTTATTGTAGAGATGAGGTCTTGCCAAGCTGCCCAGGCTGGTCTCAAACCTGTGGGCTCAGGCAATTCTCTCACCTCAGCCTCCCAAAGTGCTGGGATTATAGGCATGAGCCACCGCGCCCAGTCTTATGGTATGTTCTAAAGGCACCCCAACCACCGTGTGAATTTTAAACACTTTTCTGTCTAAGTAAGTGGGGTAGGAGGAGGCGGGTACTTTTGCTTTGTAATTCTGCACGGGAAATAGAGCTTGGTGACTTGTGTCTTTTGGGGGAAGGCGCACTGAGGAGAAAAGCTTTGTTAGCCCCTGTTTACATAGACTGTCTTCCTTCCGTGGACTGTGACAGGACTTCCGGGATGCAGTAGCCCAAGCTTCCAGGCAGCTTGGGAAGCCCGTGGTCGAGGAACGGGTCCTCAGCCAGATCCTGTACTACCTGCCGCAGCTGTATGAGCTCAACCGGGACCTCCTGAAGGAGCTGGAGGAGAGGATGCTGAGCTGGTAAGAAAGACTGTGCTCTCGATCTTCCTGCTGTGCCAAGTTGCGATGAAGCCATAAAGGTGTGGCGGAGAGACGTTGTTCCTTGCAGTGAGTTGTTTCGGTACACTGAATTTTTTTTGCAATACCTGTAGATTACTTTGAGTGACCAAAAATTCACGATGTTGGCATATCACGCTCAATCCCATGCTTCTCAGAACCTTTTTGTGATGCTGCCTCAGAAGCAGGAGGAGGAGCCTGGATTCGGCCAGTGGCAGTTTCTGTGGGCGACTGTTGGCGGCCCAGCTGTGGGGATAAGGGAGGAGGTGACCCATTCACGCTGGGCAAGGCTTCTGAATGCTCCATGTATCTCCTGGAACCGCCTGTCCTAAAACTCCTCTGCATCTTTGTAAAGAGGCCATTTGGCTGGGCGCCATGGCTCAAACCAGTAATCCCAGCACTTCGGGAGGCCAAGGCGAGAGGACTGCCTGAGTCCAGGGGTTCAAGACCAGCCTGGGCAACTTAATGAGACCGCATCTCTATGATAGATCAAAAAATTAGCCGGGCGTGGTGGCTCGTACCTGTAGTTCCAGCTCCTTGGAAGGCTGAGGCGGAAGGATCGCCGGAGCTCAAGAGCTTGAGACCACGGTGGCTGTGAGCATGCCGTTGCATTCCAGCCTGAGTGACAGAGTGCAACTCTGACTCAAAAAAATAAAAAGTCGCCATTTGCTGAAATAAGAGGGCTGTTTTGGAAAGACATCACTCTAGAAACTACAGATTTCAGAATAGGAGAAACACCAGAGGGTTAGTGCTGAAGGCTGCTTCAGTTGGGCTGAGGAAGAGATAAGCAAAAGCTTGGGTGACTTTCTGTGGAAATACCTGGAAAGATTGATGTAGGAGAGTTAAGTTTATTATTGAAGTCCACGGGGAAGGCAAAGTGATGAGAATAACACAGTAGTGTCATCTACTTTCAGGATCACAGTGTCTCTCTGAGCTTTCTTCATATGTAAACCAGAAAAATGCCTCCTCCTGTCTTGGAAATCCCGTGCTTTTACATGTTGGGAAAAACAGTAAATGAGTCGGGGATGACTAAAAGGTAGTAGCTTGTAAATTTTTTTTTTTTTTTTGAGTTGGAGTCTCACTCTGTTACCCAGGCTGGAGTTCAGTGACTTCCTCATGGCTACCACAGCCTCAACCTGCTGGGCCTAAGTGATCCTTCTGCCTCAGCCTTCCAAGTAGCTGGAACTATAGGCGCATGCTACTACTCCTGGCTAATTTTTTGATTCATTGTAAAGATGAGGTCTTGCCAAGTTGCCCAGACTGGTCTTGAACCCTGGACTCAGGCAATCCTCTCTCCTCTGCCTCCCAAAGTACTGGGATTACAGGCATGAGCCACCGTGCCCAGCTAATTCTCTTCTTGTTTTTTTTTTTTTTTTTTTGAGTCAGCGTCTTTGTTGTCCAGGTCGGAGTGCGGTGACCCTCATGGTGCACTGCAGCCTTGACTCCTGGGCTCAGGCAGTCCTTCTTCCTCAACCTCCTGAGTAGCTGGGACTATAGACATCTGCCCTCACGCCCAGTTTGTGTGTGTTTATTTTTGTAGTGTGTCTTGCTATGTTCTCCAGCCTGATCTTGGACTCCTGGGCTCAAGCAGTCCTCGACTTCCCAAAGCACTGGAATTACAGGCGTGAGCCATTGTGCCTGGCCAAGGTAGTTTTTAAAAGTCATGACAGAAGTAAAACATAATTACAAAAAATATTCTGAACATGCGTTGTAATTTTCTTATTCAGTAAAATCTTTAAAAACTAATCTGAATTGACTTAAAAATATATGTGTATTTATGCAAACAAGTGCTACAAAGAGGCTTGTTATGCTGGCATTAAAAATCCCTCCAAGCTCCTTCTGTGGATGTTCTGTGTTCAGCTGTTGAGCATCCTAAAGTGGATTGAATCGATGAAGGAGACACCGAAACTTCAGCCACGGGGGATCTTGCCTTGTGGTGACATAAAGTGTGCTCATCCTTGGATGCGCCGTTTTCTGTGTATTAAAGCATTTTTCTCTCTGGCCTTTGAGTCAAGATACACGCTTTGGTTTTAGTCGACTTTCTGAAATAAAGTTTTTCCATTGGCTTTTGGCCACAACTGATGAAAACATTTTATCGTCACATCCAGCAAGGTTTTGTTTGTCTTCGTGTGCTAGTCTGTGCTCTGAGTTTGCAGAGGACATTACCGTGCACACAACAGACAAAGGGAAAGGATACGTAGACAAGAAAAGTATCAGACGCAGCTTCCAACAGTGGGGCTTGCATAGGGTGCTAGGGGCCCAGCAACGCTGTGGCCAAAGGCGGCCCTCTTGGGGACATCCAAAAGAAAAGGGAGCCAGCCAGGATCCCTGTTTCCAGGCCTGTGGAACCATTAGTAAGGTTCTGCCAGGTGGGCCTGAACTCTGTCCAGAGGAAATCAAGAGGACCGATGAGGCTGGAGATTAATGGGAGGGGCAGACGGATGCCGGTCGGATGGCAGGCTAGCTGCCTTGGGCCTTCACACTATCAGGAGTTGCTCTTGTCCAGTGCAATAGAGGGCCACTGAGGTCCCGTGACATGGCAGGCGGTTCTAGCCTCTCCGCCTGCCTGAGAGTGGGTGGGGGAGGGAAAGAGTGAAGGCGGGGGCACCTGTCAGACGACTGGCAGAGTCCAGGCAAGGTGTGCTATGGCATGGAGGCGCTGAGGAGTGGCCATTCTGGGATGTGCCTTCCACGAGGGGGGTCAGGGTAAGCTGGCCGCCTGACGCAGGCGCTGTTTGTCACTGGCTAGATGCATTCGTGACTGTCGGCTCACATGTGTGTGTCTTCGCTATCCATAGGACTGAACAACAAAGAATCGCTGACATCTTCGTAAAGAAAGGGCCGTATCTAAAAATGTATTCCACATACATCAAAGAGTTTGATAAGAATATAGCTTTGCTGGATGAGCAGTGCAGGAAGAACCCAAGCTTCGCTGCCATCGTTAGAGAATTCGAGGTATCGCCTACCGTCTTGTACTAGCATGTCGCTCACTTTCTTTCTTTCTCTCTCTCTTTCTGTCTTTGTTTTTGGAACTTTAATAATTTCAGTCATTGTAAGCAAAGCTTGCACACAAAAAGACGTTAAAATGCATCCTCTTCAAAATCAAAGAAGGAATTAAATGGTGAAAACTCAAGCGGTGTATTAGATTTTGAAAATCTGTTATTGCACATCAGAATATTTTGACTGCTGTGGTAGTTTTGTAATTCTTCTGTGTACTAGCCAGTGGAGGTGCATATGTATATATATATTTTTTTAGTTGGAGTTGGAGTCTCATTCTGTTGCCCAGGCTGGAGTGTAGTGGCACGCTCACAGCCACTGCAACCTTGACCTGCCGGGCTCAGGTGATCCTTGCGCCTCAGCCTTCCAAGTAGCTGGAACTATAGGCATACGCCACCACACCTGGCTAATTTTTTGACTTATTAGGGTGACGGGGTCTTGCCAAGTTGCCCAGGCTGGTCTCGAACCCATGGGCTCAGGCAATCCTCTCACCTAGGCCTCCCAAAGAACTGGGATTATAGGCGTAAGCCACCACGCCCAGCGGGAGGTGCATATTTAGAAAAAGATCAAAGTCGAGCGAATCTGACAAAACTCACCCATCACCCTGAGCTGGGCAAGAAGCATGGAACGCTCTGTTATGGCCCTTAGGATGCAGGGACAACCCCCTGGGGCTTTCTGATGCCAACTCACAGTCAGCTCTTGGGTTGCAGCATGAGAGGTGGCTCAGGAGAGGCCCAGGAGCAGGCAGAGACAGTGCCGGTCATGTATTTGAAGGAAGGGAACTTTGAAAGCAGCAGACAAGATCGTCAGGTCCGAGTGTGCTCTGCAGTTGGGGTTCCCACAGACTCTGATGGGGCTGCCTTTTGGGAGGTCCTTCATCCCAGCGTTTCTGCGGTCCTCGGGCTTGTTAGAGAAGGAAGCTTAGCACGGCTGCTTCTCCGCTTATCTTTAATTTCCTCATTTCTCCCCACCACCTTCCTGTGGTTGTTCTGAGTGCGTTGACCCCAAGGCCGTGGTTATTATCTGCACCCAGTTCCCCGAGGTTTGCTCTCTGCTGCTTCTCCCTGGCTCCTTGGGATGTGTGTTTCTGAACAAGTACAGCTGCTGGAGGGTCGGCCCTCCCTAGCCCCGAGCCCAGCCGAGGCTTGGTGCTGTGAGGAGCCGGGAGCAGGTTTCCTAGGAGCAAGTGATTGCGGAGACCTACTGCAGGAGAGCCTGGGCCTGGCGGGCAGTCTGCTGGGGTTTCGCGCTCAGGGCCAGCCACTGTGCCTTGTGTGATGGGGCTTCTCAGGCATCCCCCTCCCAGGTGGGGCCTCCTGAACACTTGAACCTGGGTTCCTAGCTTCCAGCAACATGGGCTCACTCTGGACGCTCTCTCCCTGCAGCTGAGCCCTCGCTGTGCCAGCCTGGCCCTCAAGCACTACCTGCTCAAGCCCGTCCAGAGGATCCCCCAGTACAGGCTGCTGCTCACAGGTGGGTTCGCCCGCGGCGCCAGCCCGCCCGCCCGCCCGCCCATCCGCTCGCTCTCACTGCCCTTGCTGCCTGAGGATGCCTCTCTTTCTGGTCCCTCCAGGAACTGCTCTGCCCACCGTGGGCTTGTAGAGTCTCACACACCTCCTGCAGCGCTGTCTGGGTGGAACTGCTCTCAGTTCTGCCATCAAACAACCCCCCGCCCCATGTGCATTCTCACCCTGGCATCCATACATGGGATTCCTTCTGCTCAGAACATCCTTCTCCATCCCAGCTCCGCATCCCTACGTCATTCTTGCCTTTTCCTATTATTCTGAGAAGGTATTTTCTCAACTATTCAAGAGTGAGATTTAAAGGGCCACTCTCTCATACTCTGTAGTCATGGCCCTGATTACTTACTTCAGTCAGAAGGTTGTTATAAGGATTGATTAATGAGCTAAATGTGAGCAAAGCTTAGGATACTACTTTAGCTAGTGCAGCGGCACACACCTGCAATCACAGCTACTGTGGAGGCCAAGGTGGGAGGATGGCTTGAGCCCAGGAGTTCAAGACCAGCCTGGGCATCTTTGCAAGACTCCCCCACTAAAATTTTTTTTTAAAAGAATAATGCTGTAACCAGTAAGTTCTAAATCAGTATTAGCTGCTATTGTTAACCATAGTAGCAGTATTCCTTTTTTTTTTTTTTGCTTTTTTTTTTTTGAGTTGGAGTCTCACTCCTGTCGCCTAGGCTGGATGGAGTGCAGTGGCACGCATGCTCACGGCCACTCCGGCATCGACCTTCTGGGCTCTAGCGATCCTTCCGCCTCAGCCTTCCAAGTAGCTGGGACTACAGGCGTGTACCACCACGTCCCATGAATTTTTTTATTTATTGTAGAGATGAGGTCTCACCAAGTTGCCCAGGCTGGTCTCCATCCCTGAGCTCAGGCAGTCCTCTCACCTTGACCTCCCAAAGAGCTAGGATTATAGGTGTGAGCCACTACGCCCACCTTTGCCATTGTTAATGTTTTGTTGTCATGGTTATCATTTGTCTGTATCTTCTACTAGACTGTAAGCTCAAGACTGCAGAGCCACCGCCCTCTAGTTTACCACTGTTAATAGTTGATCCTTTGTGCTCAGATGTCTCCTCTGAGGGGACATCATAAATCTAGGAGCCATCTGATATCCCCTTTCAGGGACATAAAGTGATTGCTGGTGATTATACAGGACAAACTTATGCAAGCACAAGTTTTTATAAATGTTATCTTTCCTTGGAAGTTTTCATTCATATTGTATGAAAAAACAAATAAAGAGTTGGAGCATACAGAGAGATTTATGCACAAAAATACCTGCTGGTGTGGTATGGAAAGTGTGTGAAGTGCTTGCCTGGGGGAAGGAGCCAGCGGGAAGGAGGATCCTTTCAGCCCAGGCTGGGCTGCCTGGCGTGTTGGTGCTGACTCACTTCCTGGCTCCCCTCAGGCCCTCTGCTTCTCTCTGGAGTGATGCAGCAGGCCGGGGAACTCAGGGCAGGACAAGGGCTGTCCTGCCGGTCGAGAGTTCTTCCTCTGCTTTTGACAGGTTAGAATACACAGGATAATGGGAGGGGGTACTGCCGTTTTCCTGGATGAAGCCAGTGCCCATCACCGGCCGCTACTGAACGGCACAAGCCGTCTCCACAGCTGGCAGGCGAAGCGCTGTTCCTGGTGGCAAAAAACAACTGTGGCTTAAATGTGACAAAATGGAGCAAGATTCTGAAATTAATCAAAAAATTAGTTGGTACAGTGGCAGAGAGGGGCTAAAAGCAGTTGAAATTAATCCTTGTAAAGATCAGCCTGCAAACTCCGAAACCAAATAGCCAAAGGTCGCTTTCCTGGAAATGCAAGATAGTAATCCACTCACATCCTCTGTTTGTGAAATGATGGGTTTACAGCCCCTGTTTGTCGTGTATACCCTGGAGACAATTTGTTCCTTGAAAATCTGGTTTTGCTAAATACCACTTGCATATTCCAAAGAAAAATATATAGCCACACAACCGACCCCCTCGTTTACCTAAACTCACGGATAATACCTCTATCCTCTTTCTCCCAGTTGCCAGCCTTGGAGCATTAGCCTGCAGAGTTGCTAAGTGCTAATAAGCCACGACGTCCCAAGATAGCCTTGGTGTCCCAGTCTCTCTGTTTTCCTGCAACTGTACATGTGTGTTGATTTTGTTGGCACAGCGTGACTCTTCTAAGCAGTAAGAAACCTGCACCCATTGAACCGAGGCTCGTGCCGGCTCTTTGGAACGGCGAGATGGTGAATGGCACAAGCAGGATTTAAGCCTTTCCTTTGGGCGAGTGGGCTTTGCTGTGGAGGCAGCATCACGTGAGCGTGGCGTCAGGTTTGCTTTGAGCTGCCGCTGGTCAGTCTTGAGTTGGAAACCCTTTTCCGTCATTTAAGCGGTGCACAAAGCCCTGTAGCAGGCCCTCAATTTGGGGTTCATCGAGTGGCAAAAGTGAAGAGCGACTTGTTCGAGCTCAAAGTCAGGACGAAATGAAAGCGCACAGGCCTCGTGCTCTGGGTCCGCTGCCTTTCCTGCAGTGTTCCACGTCTCCCCTTCCTCCAAGCCCAGCCTGAGTACCCCATTCCTGTCCCTTGAGCCTTGGTATCAGAGCTTGCCATGCGACTTGGCAAACCTTTCTGTGATTCTTTGCGAATTTGCTGACATCTATGTGACATAAAATATTGACGCCTGGCCAGGAGCTGTGACTCATGCCTGTAATCCCAGCACTTTGAAAGGCAGAGGTGACAGGGCTGCCTGAGCCCAGGGGTTTGAAACCAGCCTGCGCAAGAAGACAAGACCATGCCTCTACAATAAGTCGAAAAATTAGCCAGCTGTGCTGGCGTGGGCCCGTGGTTCCAGCTACTTGGAAGGCTGAGGTGGGATGATCACCTGAGCCCAGCAGATTGAAACAGCAGTCGTCATGATCGTACCACTGCACTGCAGCCTGGACAGAAGAATGAGACTCCACCTCAATAAAAAAATAAATGAAGGAAGGAAGAATCACCTGAGCTCAGCAGGTCTAGGTTGCGGTAGCCGTGATTGTACCACTGTACTCCAGCCTGGGCAACACAGTGAGACTGTGCCTCAGTCAGTCAATCAAATAAATAAATCTTGATTTCATTATAAACTTCTTGAGGTCAAGGAGTATATCTTATATGTACAATTTAGTGCTCCTCAAAATATCTGGGTCGGTTTTTGATACCTTGAAGCTGTTGAGAAAATAATTTTGGTTTGTTTTTGTTTGTCTTTATTTTTTGAGATGGAGTCTCACTCTGTCACTCAGGCTGGAGTGCAGTGGCATGCTCACGGCCACCGCAGCCTCGACTTGCTGGGCTCAGGCGATCCTTCTGCCTCAACCTTCCAAGTAGCTAGAACTACAGGCCCGCGCTACCACCCCTGGCTAATTTTTTGATTCATTGTAGAGATGCGGTCTCGCCAAGTTGTCTAGGCTGGGCTTGAACATTCTCCCACCTGGGCCTCCCAAGGTGCTGGGTTAGGCTTGAGCTACTGCACCCAGCTAAAAGTTGAATTTTAAATCCTAAATTTGTACTTGTTCAAATTTAGTTAACGGGTAGTTAACGGGGAGGAGGGGGGTATTTGGTTAGATAACAGCAAATGATTTAATCCTCCCAATAGCCTTGTGAGGTAAGTACTTGTATTTTCGTTTTGGAATTTGGAGTAATTCCAAGAGCACAGAATATACCCGAAAGGAGAGGAGGAACAATGCTTTGAGGCAACTCCTGACAGCTTTGATTTACTAATGAGTTTTAGGCCAAGAAGGGGAAGGATTCCTGCCTGCCTCAGGGTACCAGTAAGTTGTTATGTGCTCTGGGGCTAAGAAACACTTATAAGATAAGGTGGTTTCTTTTAGAATGCTTAAGAGAGAAACCCCTGGAAATCCCCAGCAAATCCTTCCTTGTCAGCCCCTGCTCAAACACCATCCCATCGCCTTGCTGTGTTTTCTTCTGGGCTTGACTTGGGTTGCTATGGCATGTGCTGTGTCTCTTCCTTAACTATGGCCAAGAAGGTCCACCTGAATTCTTGGTAGCATTTTTTTTTTTTTTGAGTTGGAGTCTCACTCTGTCACCCAAAGTGGAGTACAGTGGCCGCTCCCGGCCACCGCAGCCTCGACATGCTGGGTTCCGGCGATCCTTCTGCCTCAGCCTTCCAAGTAGCTGGAACTACAGGCACGCGCTACCACGCCCGGCTAATTTTTTTGATTTATTGTAGAGATGAGGTCTCGCCAAGTTGCCCAGGCGGGTCTCGAACCCACGGGCTCAGGCAGTCCACTCACCTCAGCCTCCCAAAGCATGGGATTATAGGCTGAGCCACCGAGCCTGGCTTTTGGTAGCATTTTTAAAGGCCAACTCAGCTCAGGAGCTAAGAGAATGCGTACAGCTGCATAATACAATGAGTGATTTACTTAATTCAAGCCTGGAAACTTGGGAAGTTGACTTTCCTATTGTCTGCTTAGGGCCTGTGTGCCAGGCCAGATCTTCAACTGTGTTTGGGGCTCCGATCCTGTTTGAAGTTGGGAGGAACAGGAAGAAAAGAGAGGGACCCTGCCCTCGGAGCGGCACTCGCTCCCTTGCTTCTTTCTGCCTTTCGCTGTCCTAGTTGTCCAGTCCCAGGGTCCCGTGGGGCTCCTGGCGCCCAGGAGAAACCCAGTCCTAAAAGCCTCGGGGAAAAGCAAGGGGCTCTTTTGTAAGGCAGAGAGGCCTCATGGGGCAGCCAAGAGTGTGTGTTGGACAGATGCTGGATGCGTAAATACTGTGGGTGAGTGATGCCTGGGTGAGTGATGCCTGGGTCTTGGGCGGGAATGGCTCTTCCCCTTGCTCTCCCCTCCCCCTGTTTCCTGCTCTTCCTGTCTCCTCCTGGTGCTCCAGGCCAGCAGTAAGCCCGTCCTAGCTCGAGCACTGCCTTCCTCCTGCCCTGGCCATGCTGCCTCTCACCACGCCCCAGGTAGCCTGGCTTGTGTCATGGG